TTCTGTTAGTGAATAGGAAAGAGCCAGAATGAAAACTTGATAGTATAGAAGAGCCAATGAAGGCTTTTTTTTTAAAGCATCGTGGAAGTCTTCACATATTTATAGCCAAATGGGAAGAAGCAAGTGTAGGGTGAGATTGAAGACTAATGAAAGAGATGGGGAATGATTTTGGGAGTAGTTTCCTGGGGAAAGTAGAAAAGGATAAAATTGTAAAGACAGTATTAACTGGCAGGGTGGAAGGATACATCTTCTGAGATGAAAGGGAAAGAGAAAATGTGTGTGTAGATATTAAAGAGCTACAAGGTACAAAAGAAAGAAATTGAAGAAACTTTTCTTTGTCGAACTTAATCTCAGTGAAGTGGAAGGCTGGCATATGAAGCATAAATAATAATTGAAGTCTCAATCTTGGCAGTACTATTAAAAATATCAACTTCTGTTATAGCTTTATTAAAACACCTCCCAAGTTACCCATGGTTTTGGAGCTCCTGTATAAGTTTTCTAGTGAACTGCAAGTACTAACACATTTTTGTGATTGCTAAACTGTAATGTTAAATTATGCAGTGACATGCCAAATTGAATTACAGTTTGAAACTTGCAAGATTCCATTGAACTCTCTTGCTTTGTGATATTAAGCAAGACTATGACTATGGAAGAAATGCAGCATTTCGGTTAAAGGGTAGATTAGTACAATTAAAGCATTGATTTCCTGTGTCAAAACTCTGATTTCTATCTACATTTCTACACATTTAAAAAAAATCTGGAGTAGTTACATGCTTTCCCCCCCTTTTTTGCTGAACTATTATTAGAGTTTTTACTTTAAGTAGCTAATTTTCTGTGTAAAATAAATGGCAATTAATATACCGAGAAAAAGGAGAATTGATATTCTATGAGAAAGGAAATTTAGTCACATCTTCAATCATGTCTGTTGGACTGTGTTCAGTTCTGGGTGCCACAATTTAGGAAAGACTTTGATAGGTCAAAGAACATATAGAGAAAGGCAACCTGGGAGGTGAAGGGCCTTGAGAACTTTTTATGTAAGGATCATTTGAAGGAACTAGAGATGTTTAGCCTGTGGAAGAAACTTTCTGTATAATCACTTGGGTTTATTGTAGAGAGTATCCTTGTTCAGGTGTAAGTTAAACTAGCTAGTCAAGTCTCTTCTGACTATGAGATTCTATCATTCTGTGATAATGAATTCTAAAATTATATGGAATTTTCATTACTTTCTAATCTACATGATCTTGGGAAAGTCAGAATCTCTGTATGAATATTATTTCATTTATAAAATAACATGATTGGACTAAATGTTCTCAAAGTCCCCGTTTCATCTCTAAATCCCATAATTCAATAGCTAGAGAAAGCAGGCATTTGAGAATATGTTGTTTGTAGTTCAGTGCTAACCTTCTTCTCTCATTGGTAAGTTCCATTCAGGGCCTTCATTTTGGGGACGTTAGCCTGTAGTGGCCATGAATTATTTCCCTCCTCTCTGTGCTTCTGGCTTTAAGGACTTTGCCCCTATAACTCGGCTGCCTTCTCAACCTTAGAAAATATTGCAGGGTGAGCTGGTTCCAGACACTGATGCTTCTGTCAGTGTCTGGGGCCAGCTCATCCTGCAATATTTTTCCAACATGCTGATCCCCTTCTCCCATTACTGAGTTCCTTTGAAAGACTCCATTTTGAGGCTACTATCTATGCTAGCCACGATTCATTACCTCTTGGTTGTACTTCTGACCCTCCTGACTTTGCTACAACATCCCTTCTCAGGTTCTTTCCCCATCAGCTGCAGTTTCCTTTTATGTATTGTAATGGGACAGTTAGGTGGAACAGTAGATAGTGCCAGGCCTGGAGTCAGGAAGATTCAACTTCCTGAGTTCAAATGTGGCCTCAGACACTTACTTGTGTGACCCTGGAGAAGTCACTTAACCCTGTTTGCCTCAGTTTCCTTATCTGTAAAATTGAGCTGGAGAAGGAAATGGCAAACGACTCCAGTATCTTTGCCAAGAAAACTCCAAATGGCATCACGAAGAGTTGGACTTGACAGGACAGAACAACAAAAATTCAAATAGAAACTCACTGTGGGTAGTGGTTGTCTTTCTTTTTTCTTGTATTTGTATCCCCAGGGCTTATTGCAATACCTGGCACAGAGTAAGCTTTTAACACATGCTTATGCTTATAGCCTTGCCTTGCTTTGGTTTCAGTATTGCCTCAGAAGGTCTATTGTAGAAAAAGTGCTGGATTGCAAATTAGGAAGGCTGAAGTGTAAATATTATTTATGAGGCTTGATGGCTGTGCGACCACAAATCACTTAACATCTCTAAGCCTCAGTTTCCTATTTGTAAAATGAAGATTATAATTCTACTTAACTATTTTGCAGAGTTATTTTAAACATCAAATGAGAAGAGTAATATAAAGCACTTCACAAAAACCTCAAAGCATTATACAAATGTAGACATTATTGCTATTATTTGGAGTGATAGATGCAAAGATAACCATCTTAACACTTTATCACATCTACTCTTTTTTTTTTTGCTTTTTGGTGAGGTAATCTGGGTTAAATGCCTTGCCCAGGGTCACATAGCTAGTAAGTGTTAAGTGTCTGAGGCCACATTTGAACTCAGGTCCTCCTGACTCCAAGGCCAGAGCTCTATCCACTGTGCCACCTAGCTGTCTCTTGTCACATGTGCTCTTAAAAACCATAAGCCAGATTTCCCCCATTTAAAGTAGTCATTCTCAACCTTTGGTGAGCCTGTGATTCACATACCCTCTCACCTAAAAGTGTTGTTACTTCATTTTGCAGATAAGGAAACTGAGGCCCAGAGAGTTGAAGGTTATTTAACAAGCTAATGACTAAGGTCTTAATTTCTGAGAAATAACATCGTGTTTCCTCCACAGGTTTTGCCATTAACCTGCTACCAGTACTATCACTATCCGTACTATCACTAACATGTCTCCTCATTGTGAAGTCTTATGACCTATATATTAATTTTTTAAATGTAAATGAGTTCAAATTTTTTTAGAGCATGTTTCAGTAACTGATTCTTTCAAAATTAACCTGCAAGATAATTAGAAACACCCGGGGGCATGTGTTCCTTTTAACACTAATAGACTGACCCAAAAGTAGTAAGCTAGGCATTTAGGGAAGTTAGTTTTTTCTCCCCTTTTTGGTCCAGAGCTGTATTTCGTTGGTGTAGAAAACTCCTAATAAGGAAGCTCCTTCCTATGCATCCTAATGGGCATCCATTTTGCAATTTGTGGTTTTACAAAGTTGCCTCCAAGTGTGCTGAGAGTTACTATCTGTTTGTCCAATAGCTACTTTGTGTTAGAGAAAGGACCAGAATTTAGCTCCTCTTGCCTCCACGAAGATCTTTGAACCAGATTGCCTCTTTACCTTCATTAACTTATTACATAATGGTCATTTTATTAAACAGAAAGATTTACTTACTTTACTTCCCTAACTACTTGACAGGTTATATGGTAGGCTGAAGTTCACTGGCAAAGGTGTGCAAAAAGTCCAAGACTCAGTGATTAATGGATCTTTTAACAAAACCCTAAGAAAATTTGCATGTTCTAAATCCAGGTTTCTAGGAACAGTAACTGAACCACACTAAGATATTTGAAACTCATCAGCTCCTGCTTTCCTCAACACTGCTAGGATCTCACAGGCTGGCATTAGAATATTAGGTATTTGGTAAGGAAGAAGGTGTTAAAAGAAAAGGGAGGTAAGAGAACACTTTGCTAACACCACAGCTTCTTTCACATATACAAACTCATTTGCTTCTAATGTCATCACTGAGTTTCAAGATAGAACCATTAGGCTTGGAATGAAGAAGACCTAGGTTCAAATTTTGTCTTTGATACCTACTAGCTGTGTAACCTTGGCCAAGTCATTTAACCTCTGCTTTAAGAAATACTTTAGGACTTAATCTACTAAGTTAGAAATAGATTGAAATCTACTTGCTTCTGCTTTCCTAAAGAAAATTTCCATATTGGGATTAAATTATAGATCCTTCTCATGTTTCAGTAATAACCCAGTAAGATATCATTATTTCTATTTTAGAGATAAGGATAAGTCATACTATTCCTTTTGGGTCCATTTCAAGTGCTGCCTGTGGGCAGTGAGAAAACCTATTTGGAGTCTGATTGAGAGGTCAGAGTTGGAGATATAATCATGACACATTTTGTAACATTTCAAAAACTGCCTGTTTTATGAAGACAATTGATTTGTAGCTATCTTGAGTGTTGAAGGAAAAAAAGCATTCATGTATATTAAATTTACTGTGAATTTTATTATGTCTATTATAACATAACAGCTGATCTTAGCAGTTGTTTAAAATGCAGTATTTTTTTGGTAAAAAATAATATGGACTGAAAAATGAGATTCTTTTTTCTAGATAGGTTGATGGATTGATCTATTTAGGTTTACATTTTTCCAGAGGCATTTTAAAAATCCTAAAACTGATAAAAAGCAAAATTTACAGTTGGTTCTTATGCAAATATTTCAGGAGAGACAATTACATTAATTTTTTTAAAGAGATGATACTTTTTTGAAAATATTTCAAGAATATTTTGCCAGTTCAAATTTCAAAGAGAGAACTTTAGTTCTTGGTCTGTTCTTAAATTCTTAAATACCAGATTGAATAATTAGTGGAGTATTTAGGATTTATAAAAGAAAAGTAATTAGGAAACTTATTTGAGTAGCTGTAATATAAACAATATTTCCTTTCATATGGCAGAGGCTCTTTTCTCTGAGTCCTCATCCTCAGTATCTGCAAACCCTGAGGAAATGGCAAAGCATTTCATCGTCAGCTAGCCCTGCCCTTCAACACATTCAGCCAATGAGTTGTAAGACTAGGACTGGATCAAACATTAACTTTCATTTTGGGTACTTTTTTCCACTTGCAAGAAAAGGGTTGTAGATTAATAGTCTGATTTCGTTATTGTTAGTTGTCTTAATTTCTTGTTTTTCACAGCCTTTCCCATTGACCTCCTCTGTTTATTAGGTGCTGAGGTTCTTGAAAACTGTTTTTGGAACTGATAAAGGCATCAAGTTAAAAATGATAGTGTTAAATAACTTGAAGGCATTTCCATTCAAGCTGTTATGGAAAATGACTCAGAATCAGCAATCTGTACCAGTGAGACCATGCAGCTTGTATACCTGTACATACAAAACCAGGAATCGGGCCAGTGAGTATATATCACTTGTTTTTTAATCATACTCTTAAATATTTATTGATTTGATATTACTGTGTGGATATGTAATAACAATCTTCTAAAATAAAAACAGGTTAACATTTTTGTATACAGGTCAAAATGATAAAGTACACTATCTTACATGTTCTATTATCTAAATAAAAGTGATGCAGATTTCAAATAATAACACTATTATGATAATTTTTTCCTTTAGATTTGATTTCTAACTGTATGCTTGGGCATCTATCAGTTTCTGGGATTCATTAGTAATATCTAATTCAAATGCTTGAAAAAGACTCAGAAGTTATTTTTTAGTCATAGGTTTATTTAATTTCCTCTAAAAAGGAATGCGTCATTAAAATAGACTGGTCTGACTCATAACAAATTTCTTTAAGCTGGGTGTGGCTTCTAACATGTTTGCCCACATCCATGTTTGCCTCATTGAATTTATTTAAGAAACTGGTACTATGTGACCTAATGTTCTTAAAAGGGAGGAGGGGAAGGAGTCACATTTCTCTAGTTAGAACTTTGTTGTTTCTTTTTTTACTGGAAGTGAAAAGTTTAAATCCAAGATATGTTTGGTATTGGGACAGTTGTATTATTTTGCTTTGGATAAAAAGGGGTAGGCAAGAGACAAAATTTTCTTTTTTGTAATACTTAAAACACTCATGGCAGTTGTAGTTCCTGCGTTCTTTTCACATGTTTCCATTTATCTTCACATTATGCCATAAGCATACCTGAAAAGTATTTTTACAGGTACTGCTACTCTATAGGATTATTTTAAATTTATATTTCTTTAACTTCTCTGATAATCCCCAGAAACCAAGGGTAATTCCCTAATGTCTCTTCCATTTTGATCCAGTAACCCACCACCCCAAGTAGCCTGGAACATTTTTGGAGTCTCAACTCTTAAGCATTAAGAGCTTAAGCGTTACTCTTCCTTTCTGCAGATATTCTGTCTTCTTCAGTTTCTGATCTACCTGCATTTTGTGTATTATAATTAGTACTTCAATTCAACTTAATACGATGAATGTGCAAAAAAAAATCCAGTTCCTGCCCTCAAGGAGTTTATATTTAGGATTGAGGGAAAGCTGCAGAAACTTCCTTTCATCCTTGCGTCATAGTGTTTAACAACTACTAAGTATTACTTGAGTTCCCAGGGATCTCAAGTTACTTAACAATACTGATATTGCATGTTGATTTTTTAAGCCTATTGATTTTGCTAAAGATTAAAGAAAATTCTCTTTCAGTATTATGCCATTCAATTACTGAGAATTAACCAAACTGCTGCAGCTAGTACAGAATAAGGAAAAAGAATTCAGCTATGAGATTCCAGACTATCAGTAAGGATATGTGATAATGTCAAGTCTTCATAAATTAAAGGTGCGGGACTAAGAACAAAATGTATTTTTGGATAGGAACTAATGCAAAGAGAGATTTGTATTCTATGAATTTAGAATGTTTCTGATCCTCCCTTGTAAGTTGTAAAATGTTTTAATTGGTGACATCCCTGAGAACAATGCAGTTAGCTTTTGCCATTATTTTTTAAAGTTTTATTGACAGTCCTCAAATAAGATGGATTTATTGTCCTTAAAATAAACTACACTAACCAATGGATTAATAAAAGGGTCCCTAAAAATCGGTCTGTTTCATGGTCTGTGAATGTAATTGTTTTAATAATATCTTTGGTGGAATGATACAGATGACAAAGCACAAAAATCCTCTTGTTTTTGTCCTGGTTTGACTTTTAACCAGCCATGGAGCCTTGAATAAGTTCCTTAAACTGTTGGATACTAGTTTCTTCATCAGTTCAGTTTCCTTCAAAAATTCCTATGTTGAGGAAAAAAGAGAAGTTAGGGAAGATGCCCAAAGAGAGTTATTTGAATGCACAGGGAACTTATTCAGCTAATTGGATTTTAAATGTGTGTGTATGTATACACACATACATATGTACACACACATACTTCAAAAAGATAGAAGCAAGGACAGGATGCTACAGTTGAATATAAAATCATGACACGGTCCTGTTTAAGAGAGTCAGGAAAATCCATTCTCAGAATGAGCTGAAGCTGGCAAGTAATGATAAAGACAATAGGAAGCATTTTTGTTAGTATTGGGGAAAAGAGAAAAAATAGGCCGGTCATTAGGTATTAGGGTGGATAGGAGGATGATAATGGACAGTAGAAAAAAGAGGCACAATTACTCAACTCCTGTTTTGACTCTTTTTTTCCCTCTGTCAAAGAGAATAAATAGTCTGTGGACTGAGAAGGCCAGAATAAGAATGGTTAAGAGAGAGTTAAAATTCCAGATGAATAAGGGTATGAGAAAAGAGAACACAGCTTCCCTGAACTTATTGGTTCAGGTTACCAGACTCAGACAAACTGCATTCCAGGGTTCTGAAAGAAATGGTCAATGTAATTATTGAACCACTGTCAGTGATGTTCAGAAGATCACACTAAATGAGAAAGGTGCCACCAGACTGAAGAAGGACATATGTTGTTCTGCTTTTCAGAAAATAGAAGTGAATCTAGTCTGTAAACTATAAGACAGGGAGTTTGACTTTAATTCAAAAATTTAAGAACAGAGAAAAATTTAAGAACAGAGTTTGTTGCAACCATGTAGAAAAGGAAGTGGTAATCACAAAGTGATCATGACTTTATCAAGAATAGGTCATAATCAGATTAATCTTTTTGTCAGGATTGCTAGAAAGCTAGATCAGGACAATCCTATAGAAACAGTTTTATAAAGTGGATTTTAGAAAACCATTTGATGGAGGCCCTTATGCTGTCTGATTGGACAAGATAGAGAGGTGGACTGGATGAAAGTGCAGTTAGATGAATGTGGAGTAGTTTCAATGATCAGATTCAAACAGAAGTCATTAAAGGGTTATCAGTGTGAAAAGTAGCTTCTGGAAGAGTGATTCCAGGATGTATTGTTATGTCATTGCTGTTTAATATTTTTATCAGTGATTTGCACAAAAGTACATGAATGTATTGCTTTTCAGATTTGTAGATAATGACTAAGCCTGAAGATACAACTTTTGAATAGAAAGGCATAAGTTATAATAACATCCTTATAGCCTAGGACATTTAGCCAACTTACCCCTAGAGCCATCTTATCCCTGAGGCATGATTATTCAGCTGGAAAAGATTTGAGGTTTTCAGTGGCACTTCATATGGTAGCCAAAAAACCCCCCAAACTCCAAAACCTAATGCAATCTAAGATTGACAATAACAACCAGTATTTATACAGGGGCTGCAAGGTGGTGCAATGGATAGAGCACCAGACCTGGAGTCAAGAAAACTCATCTGCCTGAGTTCAAATATGGCCTCAGACACTTACAAGTTATGTGACCCTGGGCAAGTCATTTAACCCTATTTGCCTCAAGTTTCCTTATCTGAAAAATAACCTGGTATCTTTGCCAAGAAAACCCCAAATAGGGAAATAAAGAGTTGGACCTGACTGAACAACAAAGCATTTATATAGTGCTTTAAGGTTTGCAAAGTGTTTTATATGTTCTTATCCCCATTTTACAGATGAGGAAACTGAAGCTAAGAAAGTTTAAATTAGTTGCCCAGGATCACATTGAGAAACCTGTTTGGAGGCGGAGGCAAGATGGCAGAATAAAGGCAGGGACTCACCTGAGCTGTCCCCCAAACCTCTCCAAATACCTTTTAAAAATGACTCTAAACAAATTCTAGAGCAGCAGGACCTACCGTAAAAAGGTGGAGTGAAACAAAATTTCAGCCCAAGAAAACTTGAAAGGGCAGCATGAAAGGTCTGTTGCACCAGAGTGAGAGAAGAGCACAGTCCACTACAGGCCATACCAGTGCAGACCCAAACCCAGCAAACCTGGAGCAGGTATAGGGGCAACTAAATCACTGACAGCAGTGGCAGTTTCCAGACCTCTTGGCCCACAGACTCCAAAGACAATGTAGAAGGTGGGGAGGAAAGGTCTGTTGCACCTGGGTGAGAGTGGAGTTCAGTCCAGCATGCCAGCATAGTCCCAGGAAACCAGGAGCAGGCCTTGGGAGTGACTGAATCAACAGTGGTAGTGGCGGCGGTGGCAGCTGATTCCAGAGCTCTCAGCCCACAGACAATAAGGGGGTCAAACAACTGGTCAGGAGGAGATTACAGGGGTCTTTTTGCTAGCACTAAGGCAGGAATCTGTCACTTTGCCTATACTTGGATCTGGGTGGAGGAGGGTCTCACCTCATGGTTCCAGGACAGAAAAAAGAGCTTGTGGTCACTCACAGACCAGAGCACAGGCCAGGAGAGGACTAACACTTCTCCTTAGATCATACCACCTTGGAGAAACTGAAAACTTACAGGTTCCTAGAAGCATCTCTGAAAACAGCTATATGAAACCCCTGAAAGCTTGGATAGTGTGCCCTCTACTCTGGAAGCAGAGCCCTATTCTAACAATCAGTTAAAAGCCAAGTAATAGGCGGAGAAAATAAAATAGGCGGAAAAAACTCTGACTATAGAAAGTTATTATGGTGACAAGGAAGATCAAAACACATACTCAGAAGATAACAGAGTCAAAGCCCCTACATCCAAAGCCTAAGAAAAATATGGAAGAGCTTAACAAGGATTTTGAAAATCAAGTTGTAGAGGGAGGGGAAAATTTGGAAGAGAAATGAGAGTGGTGCAAGAAAATAATGAGAAAAGAGTCAATAGCTTGGTAAAGGAAACAGGAAAAAAAGTACTAAGGAAATTAACACCTTAAAAAACCAGACTAGGCCAAATAGTAAAAGAGGTCCAAAAAGCCAATGGGCAGAAGAATGGCTTAAAAAGAAGAATTGGCCAAATGGAAAAGGAGGTCCAAAAGCTCACTGAAGAATATAATTCCTTAAAAATTAAAATGAAGCAAATGGCAGCTGATGACTTTATAAGAAATCAGGAAGAAATAAAATGAATCCAAAAGAATGAAAAAATTAAAAAAACAACATTAATATCTCATTGGAAAAACAACTGACCTGGGAAATAGATAC